TTTTTTTCTGGAATGGTAACCAAATGAAATTGACCGTTGCTTTGTGGTCCTCTGGCATTGCTAAAGTTGTTCCTGTTGCTTGTGAAACTTTTTGACCACGCTTTTTTCCTTCCACTCAACATTCCATTGATATGGTTTGTAAAAGCATTGCTTCGTTATGACTACATGAATGCATCTAGTGAAAAAACGTTTCAATTAGATCTCAATTCAGTGAGATGCCACCTTTGTTTGTGGTGACAAAAAAGAAAAGCCCTCAAACGTTCCCTCTTTTAGTTTACTGTAATTTCTAAAAAATAAAAACAAAATGAAATGGTTTGACTGTAGTTGCCAGCAACAGCTCAGGTCAAGGTGAGGAGGAGAAGGTCCTGTTGATGTACGTGGAGAGAAGCTAATGGATGGCATGAGAGCGAGAGCGAACCCTTTCGCGAGAGAGCAGCTATTAGCCGTGCACTCTCTAATGATTTATTCATTTCTGCAGACGGAAAGTCTGCTGTTCATTAGAGTTGTTGATTGGCCGGTCGGTCCTACCTTCAGCGCCGTTTATAGTGGACTGCCATTATTTTTGCATCAGCCCATGCAAGTTCTTCTCGTAACAAAGTCAGGTCGATGTGTTTGCAAGCAGGTTCCTGTGTCACTTGGAATACTGAAAGAACTCCAGCAATCTTGCGGCGCGTCACATGCAGGGCTGAGATCTGTGAGGTGAACATGAGGACCGATGCGGCTGTGCGTTTTTTGTGTCCCGTGTTTACTGAAGAGGCTGCTCTGTTATTACTCAAGATTCAGATGGTATTCACTCACTGGATGGTGAAGGAATGAAAAATATGCTACACGCGTGTGTTCGATTCGCTAAAAATGTTGCAGATATTCTGTGGTACACAAACTAACATGTGAACGCGCCCAGCCAGCGTCAGACTGACGCACACAGGGTCTACATACACGCAGGTGGGGTGGTCGTCGGTTGCAGCTGAAGAGCCTCGAACATCGCTGCCTTTTTTTTTTCATCATCTGCTCCTGTTTAAAATGAAAACTTATCAGGGGAATCCTTTCTTTGAGAGGCATTCTCCTTCCTTATCCTGAGTGGAAAACATTGAACATTTTTTTATACAACAAAAGAAGACCTATTTTAAACACCAGTCTCGGCTGTTGAAGAATTTTGTTTAAAAAAAATGTTAGTATGGAGAGAAAGTTACGGTTCATGATGGTCTTTAGAGGTTTTAGGCTTCAGTTAGTGGAAGCTGTAGAAACAAATGCCTGTTCCTGGTTCTTATTCTCCCTTCGCAAATCCCATCTTAGTGGAAAACAGAATGAATGAATGAATGAATAAATGAATGAATGAATGAATGAATGAATGAATGAATGAATGAGCCGTTAGAGATGGGTTGCCCTCTCATATTTCTGGACAAGGTTGCGATGCAGGCTCCTGGTCCGCCTCCGGTTGTCTCTGAGCTGTCAGGGACGGTTCTGTTAGCCGAGGCCAGCTAGCCGGGTCACTGTGTGTTTGGACAGGCTGATATCAGCTGGCTACGAGCCACCTCTCTAATCCTCTGTTTGTGTATTTCCTTGTTGGCTCTACACGAGTGTGAACAGGCCAGAGCCCTGGGCTGATACGCAACCAGCCTTGGTGAAACACCCAGTGTTGCGTTACTGTCTGCTTGTCAGCATGTGTCTGCATCACTATGGCTGCCTGATGGAAGTAGAGCCGCTTTTTGAAGAATGTAATGTAAATGAACATGTATTTCGTTTATCTTTTTGGGGTTTCTTTTGCGTTGATGTCTATGATAGGTTTTCAGATTTTTTTAAATAGGCTATTGTAAATAAATGCAGACAGAGAATTACTGTTTCTGTATATTTTTCTTTCTTCTTTTTTTTTTAGTAAGATAATTTACACAAACAGTGTTTGGAGTGGATAGTATCCTTTAGTCTTATTGTGTTCAGTTGTGATTTTATTAACTACCGTATTTTCCGGACTATAAGTCGCAGTTTTTCTCATAGTTTGGCCGAGGAAGCGATTTATACTCCGGAGCGATTTATGGGTGGAAATTAACACATCATTATATCACCTCACATGTTATTTTCACACTGAACCGCAAGAGGGCGCTCTAGGACTGTGTTATCCTCCTTCACAGTTAGAGTTGTTTACAAGCGACACCGAGGATGAAGATTTCGTTGCGTTTAGTGATTTGGACAGACACGGATGGTTTGGTAAACTTGTCAACATGTTATTTATGCTATAATTTTCTCAATAACTCTTAATATGTTATGCTAACATATCGAGCACGTTCTCAGGTCGTTGTTTGTCATGTAACGTTAGCATACCGTACCATTATCCAGCCTGTTGTTGCCTCTATTCAATTCTTATTGCCTTTCAAGTTGACAGGTCTGTTCTTATAAATTTCCCTCAAAAATGCGACTTATGGACCGGAACATTTGTGTTCTTTAAACTGTGTTGTCGATGTTTTGCCCAGTTGTACTTTGCTAAAACATCTGCTACATGACAAACAAAGCAAAGGATTAGATACAGCAGTTAAATCATGGAAAACACACCAGAATAAATTACAAACCAATGCTGGATGCATAATAACACCAAGTTCATCACATCTTTTAGCACAATAAAAAATAATATTTGAGCTGTATGTCCTGCTCCAGCTTAAAGCATCTAGCAGGGTTTGTCCCATTTGGACAGGATTTGGTACTGATCAATGTTGGTTACTTACATTTTCAAGTATCTGGTAAGTCTAGTCTTCCCAATGAAGGGAATTGATGGCATCACAAAAACTCCTGGGTGATTCAGAGGGAAATATAGAAAAACACAGAATCAGGTCATTGTGTATTGAGGGTTATATGGACATCTGCAATGTCTCAATGAAGGACTGGTTCATGACAGACAAAGATACTTACCCAAATGTTGTTATTCTCCTCCTTCAGTCATACTATTGATGAAATTAGAAAGTACTGAAAATGTACTTTGAAATGTTCTTGAACCGGGTGCCGGAGCTTTGATCATTGCTATCAGAACAAATCTTATGTTTTTTTATTTATTTATTATTATTATTATCTGTTGTTTATACTCTGTACCATTTGGTACCAAAATGAGCGAAGTGTTAAAGGCGACTCCGGAAACCTCCAGTGGTCAATGGTCAGACTCAAATTGAGGTTGAAGCCTAATCCTTTTTTCCAGTGAGCGTAAATCATTGATCATTATGACTCTGTAAAGCAACAGCAGTGAATTGGATCCAGTAGAGTATGTCTACTTCACATCTTGCACAGAGAGGGTAATAAAAGTACACTTTTAAAGAGTTATCTATTGACATAGCTTTTTAGTACACTTGCAGTAGACTTTCATCTCTTGCCTCGCCTTGGCTTATGGTAACAAATTAATTTGGGGAGCTTGCAAAACAGAAATTTTAGATATTTTCTGAAGGGTTTTCATTGATACATTTCCTCAGAACAAAGAAGAAAACGGCATCAGGTTTAGCTGCTCCTGGGTATGGGACACAAAAAAACAACCCCATTAAGAATTATATTAAGTGTATTATTTTACAAAAAAGATTTGTCTATCATTTTTCATTTTCTTGTCGTTGTTTATGCAAAACCACTTATCGCACCAGATACGCCAGCTTATTCGTACTAGCTGTGTGCGTCTTAGTATTTTATAGGATAGCTATTTTCATAGCGTGTGAATAATTCATTCATTTATACATGCTGTAATGATGTACAAGAGCCTAATCAATGCTTTCTGTGGTTGATCATGAACTAATTGTGTTGGGACCAGAGGCGACATCACACTGTGTGAGAGAGAGAACAGCTGATGTTGCACAACTCTGCAGATAACCAGGATTTGACTACGATTTACGATGGCGAGTTCGAGTTCAGCATGATTTGCAAGTTAGCATTCATAAAGCCATGTTTGCTGGTGTTACTTAAAAGGTCAGCAAGGCCTTAACTGTGAGATTTCAGCATGTTCCATTACTGACCAAAGTGCATTTTTAAAAAGGATGAAACCGAGCAACTTTGCTGTGACATGCTCACATCTAAATACCATTTTAGGTTCAACGGAAGCAGAAATTAACAGCCAGTATATCTATTGACGGAAATTTTCTTTTGTAGAAACCAGATATACTTCATTTTTTTGCTTCCTCTGTTGTCATTTAAGCACCTTAATGATACTAATCTCCTGGTTGCACTGTTGTCTACCCGTTTTTCTTATCATTTGTTGTTGTAAGACATGAGACCACAGGAAAATGATGCTCCCAGATTACATTTAACCAGAAAAACCACACAACTGTGACTCAACAAATATCACAGCAGTGATGCAAAAATATTGCGGAGCCTCACTCTTGCTATGCGGATAGTTCACTCATCTGGGGAGACTTTATGTTGCTCATCTTGTGTTACTTTATTCATGTGAATAATTAGCTGACTTTTCTAAGGAATTCACAGAATACTGGAATTGCAGTCAGAAATGTTTGGATAATGCTTTGACAGAAAAGTAACATACCTTTTAGCGCAGAAGAACACTGTGAGTTATATCTCACTAATCTCAATACACACACATTGGGCTGAGCAGGAAGTGCATTAGCTCCATGCATACTTCACAAGAATCGATGTGCAAAACCTTCACTGTAATTGCCTCAACTTAAGACTCTCAAAGTAAGATATCAAGCAGTTTGACAGCAACTTCTTCCACAGGTGAAAACTCCCAAATGTATGTTTGGTGTGTCCTGTGATTAAACCACAGAACTGTTTTTACTAAAAATTTTCTGCCGCATTGAATGTCGGATCAGTAGAAAATTGTGTGTATCGGCATTTAGACTTGGTAACTTTGGAGCATCCCCATCACTATTTGCCTTTTCTTGCAGTATTGTTTTCAAGTACCACTTTTTTTACTGTTTGCATGTTGCAGATTTTTCCATCTTTCTGTCAGAGTAAATGACAGAGAGATGACAGCGTAATTATTGACTCCTAAATAGAGAATGTTTTGTGTCCCGTCTTTTTGCCAGGAATGAAAACATACCTGATCTCAGGAAGGAAGCCAGATCATGATGTGCAGCTTGGCTGCTCTCAGGTGGAGCTGCCTGGTGGGGAGTTCGTGGGGGTCAACGTGCCCTCCTGCCCTCAGCCTCGTACACCGGACCTCATCCACGGAGCGGCACAGGCTGCCGAGTCCCTTCTGCCTCACAAACCATCGGACAGAACCGTGGTGAGAATGTAGTTCAAGAAAACACTTTATTTATGGCTTATTGGTTTTTAACTGATCAAATTAAGCAAATTTCCGTTTGAATAGCTGTGAAATAAGATGGTACGTACCATCCGACCTCTTTTCTTTTGTCCCAAATGTGATTCATCTTTTATTTTGTGTCTGTATGTGGTTGTATTTATTTCTGAGACTTAATTATAAGCAACATGATGACAAACGTCAGGAAACTCCTTCTCCTTCGTTGACCTGGACCACACAGGTGCAAAATGTGGTTCATGGTTCTGAAACGACACTTTAACTGTCTCTTCATTGGCTCAAATTAATACTTTAAGCTAAATATAAGCTAAATATACTCAGTATTTAAAAAACATCTTCACGAGAATGGGGCATAAGAAACTAAATTTAGCATGTCGGTCATCAACGTTTTGTACACAAGTCATCTTCTGCCTGTTAAGCCGGTTGCTGACAGACTCAGGGTGCTAAGATGCAACGGCTAATTTTACTGGATTTGTTTTGAGACGGTCTGTGAAGCTGCAGCTAAAACACTGGAACTGGCAAAAGGCGTGAACAACATTCTGAGAACAGTGGCTTTGTCGTTGCCTTATGTTTCCTCACAACAATTAATGTGGTGAGTAGATGATGTTCCTTTGCAGAGAAGAGTCAAGACAATGTGAGATAAGTCAAATAATAAAAAAAAAACTATAGGGACAGTTTAAGGACAGTTTCTCTGAATATTTGTCTGTCATTTTAAACTGAGATGGGTTGATGTACCTTCGTTTTATGGATTTAAATTTTCCCACCAAAATGTCCGTTTTGCAGCAATGACTAAATTTACTTTCATTAATTAATTTTAAAAAGATATTGGTAAATAATTTTTGTCTATTTACTGAAAAGATATTCAAATATTGTTAAAATAATACTTCGATTCTCTTATCATTGAGTAGAAATATAAACAGCTGCGTATGGGTGACACTTTGCAGATCGTGTTGAAGAATCGCTGTTCAGGGAGACCAGCCTGAAAGGCAAACTATGCCTCGGCAGAGTGAACGTTTCAGTGGCATTCACTTGGTGTTTAAAACCCTCCAAATATTTTAGCAATTTGTATTGCAAACTTGAGGCTGATGTCAGCTGGTATGACATCCTTTAGTAAAAATACAGCAACTTCTCAGTGTTTAGGGGCAGCACTGCATTGCTGTATTCTAGATACAAGTAGAGAAAATTTAGGAAACTCCATTGCTCTCTCATTATGAGGATTTTAAATTGTACAAACAATATGACAATGAGAATTTGTAAACTTTAGCTATGTCCTACTTTACCTATAACTCAACCATGCATATAGATTCTATGAAAGTTTTTACTTTTGATGAACACATAAATATCTAAACAGCTGACTTGATCTTTCTTGTAAGCAAGGAAAAATATGGAGTCTTTTCTTCCAGGCGTCTGATTGGCTTTAGGCAGCAAATACAGGGAAAGGGAGTGTACCGTGCTGCTACTTCATCAATAAGCCTTTGTTCAGCCAGCTGGTCGGCAGTGTACAACAGCATGTGAGGAAGGGGACGTTCTGCAGTGCTTGAAAATTGCTGTACTTTCTCCAAAATCTCTTTCACCACCCATTATCTTCCGCTTATCCAAGGTCGGGTCGCAGAAGTAGCAGCCTGAGTGGAGAGGCCCAGACTTCCCTCTCCCCAGCCACTTGAACCAACTCTCCTGGGGCAATCCCAAGGCGTTCCCAGGGCCCACTTCAATGTAGATTCAGCTCCAATCCGCCTATCAAGCTCCCACTCCCATCTCCCCTCAAAACCTATGATACTTAAACTCCTCCACTCGGAGTGGGACCTTTGGGCCAGAAAAGGAAGAAGAATATGTCCTTGAACAAATCTCCCCAAAAATCAGTTAGAAAGGTTTGCTGCAATGTCTGACAAAAGCAAAACATATTAAACCCTTTTTGTCCCTGCGACACTTGAAGATATGTGGTAGTCTACCTCTGCCACAATGATCGTCTCTTAGGGCAAAACCCTTCACAACCATGATTTTCACTAATTTGTACATAAAAATCAGTGTTGTGCTTCTGGAGCTCGAGCAAATGTTGTAATTTGTGCAACCCCATTCCCACTTTCTCTCCCCAGCCTCCCTGTGTTTTCCATGGCACCGTGCGCTCGTCCATGGCAGAGCAGGCCGATGATGTGGCTGTTGTGAACGGCTGCCAGGAGGAACACAAGGCCAGCGTTGCCAAGGTACGGCCTACGTTGACGCCGCACTCATCGCCTACTTCTACTTCTCCGAGCATTTCCCACTTAATCTACTCAACACGCAGACCCTCCCGCTGTTTCATCGCCTTTTTGTCTCCTCTCAAAAGTTCCTGCCAGGCCACAGCCCGAAAGCGGTCAACGGTCTCTTGAGCCCCCCGCTGGAGGACGCCGCCGCGCGCACCAGCCAGAGCTCCTTGTGCGACATACTCCAGGAGAAAGAGAAGAAGACCAGCACCAGCACGGGGACCGGCACAAGCCTCGGCATGGCGGCGGCGGTGGCGGCGGCAGGCACAGGCATGGATCACTCCGCCCTCATCCAGCTGCGTGCCAAGAACTTCAAACGGAAAAGCGACGCCCACTTCGTGGACGTTATCAGGGAGGACAGGTGAGGAGGCCGGTTAAAGGTGGAGTTTGTGAGCCAATAGCACAGCAGAGAGTAATAAAGCAATTTGTTTTTATAATGATGGTTTTCATAAACTTGTCCGCTGGTGATGAACCTTTGAACTGAAGAAATGCATTTATACTGTGCCTTGCATAGGTTTTTTTTTTTACATTTTGTCACCTTGCAACCATAAAGGCATCCCTGCAGAATGATACTGCCACCACCATGCTATTGAAATGAAAACTATGTCAGGGATCACAGTCTTGCCTAGCAGGCTATTTTAGCTAGATGCCCACGTCATTGAGTTTGGTTTCTATTTTGGATTTACACTGAGATTAAATAACACACAAGTAGACCTTTTTTTTAACCTATTAATGAGCATCTAGGTAATTTGTCACATTGGATTTTACTTTGGTGTTTATTTTCCCCTTTTATTATATAGCATATATGTAGCACAAAGTGGTTCAATGGTGGGAGCCCACTGTTGACTTATGTCAGAAAAGTTGATATAGTTTTGTACTTTTCCCGTGAAGAAGCTACTCTTTGCATCTGGGGTGGTTCAAACAACAAAGATTATTCCCCTGAAGTTGTTTTTATTTGTTGTACAATTGGGTGATATGAAGAGATGCTCACTTAAAATAAAAAGGTATTTATCTGACTCAGATTTAGTTCTTTATTTGACTTCTTTCCAGTCTGATGAAGGACTACTTTTTCAAGCCGCCCATCAACAAGATCAGTTTGAACTTTCTGGAGAGACCTCTGGAGAAGGCGTATCGCAGCAGCTACAAAGAAGAGGTACACACACACACACACACACACACACACACACACACACCCACACACATATACACACACACACACACACACACCCTTCACTTAGACAGAGGATTTTGTTTTCGGCTCTTGTCTGGTGATTTTGCAACTTGCTGCTGTACCTAACACGAACATGTTTTTTTTTTTTTTTTTTTTTTTTTGGGTTTTTTGTTCTTTTTTCTCTTCCACGTTCAGGCTTTCTTTTAAAGATAACTGAGTGATTAATGGACAGGAAAGAAAAAACAACTTTCTTTGTAACACGTCATAACTCCATGCCACAGTGAAGACTCTTACTATAAAAGACCAGTTCCAGATGTCCTCTGCTGACCCTGGAGACTTTCAGCCCCCTGCTGTTCAATAAGTGTTACTACAGCCTTAAGAAAAGGGAGCACATTGCTTCAGTTTCAGCGTCTCTTCCTTCAATTAATTTTTGAACTTCATTGATAAATTCCAGCACTTGTACCAATATACATCTCATATCATCTAGCATTATTCAACCCTGGGTGAAACCTGACGGTCTAGAGTTAAACGTATTGATGTTTTGCTTCTAAAAAAAACAAACTCCTTCATATCATTTAATATTTCACTTTACGTGTGCATTCAGCTTTAATCAAACTTTAGTTGGTTTATCTAAAAAGTCTGGATCTACAGCCCCTCTAAAAACCTAGATCTCCGTTCGGTTGAAGTGAACTCTGGAGCTTATGTGAATGCCAAGTGGACCAAAAGAAGGAAGCGGGAACTATTGCGCCGAGCATTCCGGCTAAATTCTAACAAAACAAACGCGAGAATCTAGTTCTAGCGAGAGAGGTGACTCTTAGTTTTTTTTACCGGAGACAAAAGAGAAATCCCACAACCGCTAAAATCTGACGCTACTCAGTTTGTATTTACATCTTGTGAAGAAGGAAGTTGTGCTTAGTGACTTCTGCAGGTGTTTTATTGCGTGGTTCTTGGTTCAGCATCACCACAGGGGGTTGGGGGGCAACATTTTTGGAAGAGTTCGGATCACTTTACGCAGTGCGGTGCGAAGGCGAACCGCACCCAATCGAACCGAGTCTACAGGATTATCTGTTGTGAGAACACACTTAAATTTTTTCAAATGTGATGATATTTTCGCTCACACAGACACACGGTGGCGAAACGCCTCCTTGGCTTCATCTCAGGAGAAGGCTGAATCTGTTTCGATCGTCTCTTCTGTCCAGGTGAAGAACCAGGTTCCGGTGCAGACGTTTGCCAGCCCCACTTTCAGCTCCTTCCTGGACGTTCTCCTCAGCTGCTTCGTCTTCCTGGCCTTGACCGTGGCCTGCTTCCTTCCGTCTCTGGTCGACCCGGCCACGGCGGGCCCCCCGGCGCTCGCTGCCCTGATCCTGGCTCCTCTGGCTGGGTTGCTGGAGCTGGCCTCGCTGGTGTTCTCCGTACGGTGAGGCTGGTTAAATCAGATAAACCTGGTGGCTCGTGTGAATGTGCTTTTTTTAATGTGATGGTGCTCCTAAGTTTGACATCAGGAATTACGTGAGGATAAACTAAAACAAAGTTTATCCTCATATAAACTTTGTTTTAGTTTAGAGTAAGTCCCTGTTTTAAAGCATTTAAAACAGGGACCCTCCACAAAAAAATAAATAAAATTATAGGAAAAAAAATCGGAAACCTGTCATTTATTGTTATTGTGTTTCTTAAAATTAAATGCTACCCCTTCCAGACCTAAAAGCAGACGTCCACATTTTATTTTGCAACTTCAACCTTTTTGGAGGTACACATCCAATAAATGCTGGAGTTTTGCTGTTTGAGATTTTTCTCCCTCCTCTTGATTATTTGCCTCCCTCTGTTTTCTTGCAGCATGACCTTCTACCTGGAGGAGCTGAGGAGATGCACTCGCTCGCTGGCCTTGCTGGTGTCCGGCTGGGTCTCTCGACATCTGATTGGTGCGGCGTTGGTCTCCCTTCCCGCCGTCTCCGTCTTGTCCCACGTCAGCGTCCGCCTTCCCCTGCAGGTAAATCCATTTTGGTTGGCAAGAACATCATCTATAGTCAATTGAGGCACAGAAATACTGTGTTACGGTGAACGAACATTGCTTTTGTTTTTGCGCCTGTCAGAGTTTAGACTTCTTTCAGCTAAGATTTCTGACGTGGATCTTTCGATCAGTTCTATTTTTCAGGCTTCAATATTATTTGACAGTAGTGTTGCGACACAGACGGCTTAATAGCCAGTGTGCATGTTTGACCATTTTAAGAGGTGCCGCAATAAAGAAAAAAGGAGGCAGATCTCATTTCTTGATCGTTCGTTGCATGTTGCCTAACAACAACGAGGAATCAAACAAAAGGAGAGTTGATGATTTCTACAGCACACATGGAGAAACTACATCTACCCTACAACTCAATACAATATAAAAAACCCTCTATTGTGAACAATATTTCTAATAATTGAAACCAGAAGTTCCTCGCCGTCTGACACTAAATCAGACTAAACTTGTTTTGTTTTCTTTGGTTTGGATTGACAAAATGATTTCTAAAATATTAAGAGATTTTGTTAAAATTACTTAAGCTATTTGCACGATTGCATTTAGACTCGGGTAAAACATCTCAGCTGTCTCATAATATTTGAGACAGCTGAGATGTCTCAAACAGCTGAGATGTCTCAAATATAATATTTGAGACAGCTGAATTTTGGCCCATTCCTCCTGAGGCCAATGCCAGTTCAACATTTCAAAATCTCTTTACAAAGATACACTTCCACGTGATTTGAGGATTTCTGATGGCGTTTGATTAGATTTATTAAAGAAAACGTTGAGGAAAACCAGATGACAGTAAAAACTGAAATAGTCACTGATGCCTTGGTTGCTTAGAGTAAGCACTTTGATATTTTACCTTCCACCCCAGGTGACCATGTTCCTGTGCTGTGCCACCATCTTGGCCATAATTCAGTACTGTAACTTCTGTCAGCTGAGTTTTTGGATGAGGTCCGTCTTCGCCACCATCACCGGACTCGCTCTCCTGCTGATGCTGTACAGTCCTGTTCACAGGTACGTCTCACCATCGCCAAGTTATGGAGATGTTATTAACCATCACGCAGACAGGCTGTTGAGATTTCAAGAATTTATTCGTCTGCTGCGATTTTAAACAGAAATCTACCAACTTAACCACAGAAGTCTGAATATCTAATATTTGCGACGCTGAACCGAAGCATATATTTGGTGTGTGTGTGTGTGACTGACTAGTCCTTTCTCCTCGCTGACATCACTCTCATCTCCTTGCAGCTCAAGTAATAACGCCGTGCCAGTTCATGGGTGAGTGTTTCCATAGAAACAGAGCGGTTTGATCGAAGACTGACATTTGAGGGGGTCAACAGGAGCGACAGCTCCGTTCTATATTTCTCATTACTACAGCTCTGTTTGGCTTTTGCCCTTCTTTTTTGTTTTTTGCTTTCATCTGCTCTTTATTGTGTTGTCTGTCTCTCTCTCTCTCTGTCTCTCGCTCGCTCTCTGTGCAGCAGTAGTAATGGCTGCTGAATAACTCATCCAGCTCAAACTGGCTTGAATTTTTGTGTTCGAGACACATCGGAGATTTAATTAATTGCGCCGTCTGGAGAAGAAATTGGCATAGTTCTTCTTTAAAGGAGCTCATTTTGTTACAGCTGCTGCGTTACACCATTATTCCACACTTGAGAGAGATTGTAGCTGGTTAGTTGTAGTCGTAAGATTCAGAAGATTGCAGCATTTTTTATTTTTTTTTTATCTGTAAAAGAACGATTCCTAAGAAGAGGGTTTTTGTCAAACTTGTGAGAAATGCTGCAAAGCTTCTAAGCACTTGTGTTTTCTTTGTGCAAGTTTTCAGGCTTGAATTCTGAAAAGTGTGTTTTATTATCAGATGTCGAGTTCATTGTCCAGACCCCAGTCAATGAATCTGAGTATTTGAGGAACTTTATCATTAAGTGAAACACGTTGTATACATTAGTCACACACAGATGGATGCTTGAAAGCCTTTCATTCTGTTAATTATGATGATTTGTCACTCAGTCAATGAAAACGACATTTAAAATTAGAATTAATGCGAAAAAATTAATACAGACATGTCGCTGTAATGAAAAGTTTAATATCTGCTTGAAGGTTGTCAGTTTTGGAAAAGTATTTTGTAATGTGACAAATGAGCCTATTTCCAGAAACCCTGAAAATAGTGAAAACAGTGGATCCCTCTTAGAGGATAAATAAATATTATCAAGGTTCTCTTTGTTGTTTTTACCTCTTTAATATTGCTTATTTTATTTTACTGTGTATTTCATAAATTTTTGGTCAGTAAATATAAATGATGTACTTTATGTTATGGATCTTCAAGGTAACATCCGTCTCTTCGGGTCGAACGGTGCCGTTGGCGTTTCACCTTCGCCGGCCTAATTTTCCTCCCGTTTCCTCCCCAAACAGGCTGAACGTCTCCACCTCCAGCGATGGTGTGTCTGAGTTGAGCCCAGACACGTCGACGCTCTCTGACTTCCTGGTCACGGAGGCGGTCCTAGCCTTCTTCCTGCTTCTCCTTCTGGTCTGGTTTCTCAACCGTGAGTCCGAAGTCAGCTACCGCCTTCATTACCATGGCAACGTGGAGGCTGACAAGCACCGCTCCAAAATCCAGACGATGCGAGACCAGGCTGAGTGGCTGCTGGGCAACATCATCCCCATCCATGTCGCCGACCAGCTCAAGGTCTGCCTCGCCTGCTTGTTTAAACTGTTATAAAGGTGCTATAGCCATTTAGAGAGCGAGATTGTTTTAGTGTGTTCCGTCCCCCCATTTTTTTCTTTTTTTGCTCAGGAGACCCAGAGCTACTCCAAGAACCACGACAGCGTGGGGGTGATCTTTGCCAGCATTGTCAACTTCAGCGAGTTCTACGAAGAGAGCTACGAGGGCGGGAAGGAGTGCTACCGCGTCCTGAACGAGCTGATCGGAGACTTCGACGAGCTCCTCCGCAAGCCCGAGTTCAGAAGCGTGGAGAAAATCAAGACCATCGGCTCCACCTACATGGCGGCGTCGGGGCTCAACGTCCAGCAGACGGGGGACGACGAAGACGAGTCTCCCCACGCACACCTGAGGGCGCTTTTCGACTTCGCCCTGGAGATGATGGGTGTCCTGGATGACTTCAACAAGAATATGCTGGGCTTCGGTTTCAAGCTGCGCATCGGGTTCAACCACGGGCCCCTGACGGCGGGAGTGATCGGCACGACCAAGCTGCTCTATGACATCTGGGGGGACACGGTCAACATCGCCAGCCGGATGGACTCGACAGGCGTGGAGTGTCGGGTGCAGGTTAGCGAGGAGAGCCACGCTGTCCTCAGCGCCATGGGCTTGGAGTTCGACTACAGGGGGACAGTCAATGTCAAGGGCAAAGGGCAAATGAGGACTTTTCTCTACCCGAAAAGCGGGGAGAGCTTTTGCCAGGACCAAACGGAGCCGGCAGCAGGAGCTGGACTGACGATATTAACTTCTTGTAAGACTTCCTCCTCTCTTCCCAGTCAGTGCCCTCCGCCCCAAAGCACTGTAAGGGCTGCAGGAGCAAAATCCGAGCCCAACCCAACGACGAGCGTAGAAGCCAGGGATGAAGGCTATAGGGACTTAGCACACATCCCTGAGGAGTCCCCCGATAGAGACTTCAGCAGCCTTGCACGCTCTGAGCCAGGCCCAGCCACACAGACAGATCCCGCTCCTCTCCCGCTTCAGGAGGAGGAAGAGGCGAACGAGCTGACAAAACTCAACGAGGAGTTTTACGCTCGCCTCTGATCGTAGATCCCGCTATTCTTCCGTCGTCTTCTCCCCCGCTTCCACCTCTTTAGGACCGATTACAGACGCCAGCAAGGACGTCTCTTCCCTTCCCTCTCTGGCATGGAGGAAGCAGCGGATCGTTTCAACGCCGCGGCTTTTGCGGCTTGAAAACGGGGCCGCCGAAGACCTTCAGTGGGAGCGTTGCCCGAGCGCTGTGACGGTGGATTTTTGAGCTGTGCTGAGCACAGCGACTTATCATGATGAAAAGCATGAAGAAAGAGGAAAAAGAAACATTTTCAAAGTGTTATGTCTTTTCTTAATATTTTTATCAAGTGCCTTCAGGACTAGAACAGTGAACGAACAAATATGAAAAGTGAACAAGAATTGAACAACCTAGACTACAGATCATACTGTAGTTTCTTATGTCATCCTTTATTTTTGAATGCAAGTATTGTTTCACTTTTGTTTGTTTTTTTTTTTTTATAAATCATTACCGTTGTGCCATATCAATCGCTAAGGGAAAGTCATTTTAGTTTTTATGTAAGTGCCAACGCCGTGTTATGGGCTTATTGGGAAATTAGGGAAAATTGAGGGAATTACACAAAGCAGTGTTAATATTAAGTATACTGCTTTGACATACGGGCCTAAATACAGTATTCATTTATGCCCAGAGATTCACTTATAAGAAGATATGCTGCAAAAGCAGGCTGCTTTGATTTTTGATTTTTTTTTTTTTTTAGCTTGTGTAGCAACGTGATGAACATTTTAAGCACAGTTCTTGCACAGTGTTTTTGTTTTATTTTTACCACTTGTTGTATTTAGCAGTTTTTACAGCTTGATTGCTTCTTTGAGACGTTGGGGAAAGATCTTACAGTAAAAGCACAAAAGCTTAGACACATAAGGGAAAATAGATCTGAACAAGATGCGTTTCTGAAGCAGGGACGCCATCAGTGAGCAGGAAGGCAATCTAAGCACCTACAGTGCCTTGCAAAAGTATTCATGCATCTTGAGCTTTGTTGCATTTTGTCATTTTCCAGTTTCCTCAATGTCTGTTATTGGGATTTTATGCAATAGATCAATACGAAGTAAAATTAGAACAAATATCGATGAGAATGATTGAATGAAATCTGAAAAGTGTGCCGGTCATTTCTTGTCAGCCCTCCCAAGTTAATCCCTCGTAGAACCAACCTTTGGGTGCAAGTCTCTACTTCCTTAATACATCTCAAGACTTAAATATTCTTCTTTGCAAAAACGACATCAGCTCAGTCACACTGAGAGCTTTAGGGAAAAAAAGGCAGTTCTAAACTCTTACCCTGATTCCAAGTTACATTTTCTCTTTATTTCCGTCATTATGACATGAACTCGCTTTGGCCCAGACAGGCCCTTTGTAGTTCTGTCATGCTGAAAGGTGAACCTTCAGTCTTTGTAAACTCCCAACAAGTTTTTCTTCCAAGATTTGGAGCTGCTCGCTCCATCCTGAAGAAAAACATTCCCACAGCATGATGCCACAGCCACTGTGTTTCATCATGTTGATTATGTTATCCAGGTTGATGTGTAGTGTTGTTTTTATTTTTATTTTATTTTCAGCCACGAGGCGTTTTGAATGTAGACCGAAAAGTTCCGATTTGAGTATCCGTGGTGAACAACATAGTCAAGGCAGTAATTAAGCCAAAACTTTACAAAAGATGTATACATTTTGCGTTCATGATTTTAAAAAAGGAGTTTTTTTTCCATCAGTCAATATACTCTACCCAGAACTTATGAAGTAGCACAGCATTAGCTTCATTTTACTCAAATCCTGTAAAACACAAAAAATTATAAATAAAATCTCCTATTAAGTACCTTTTTCTATCCAATTATTGATTGGTTAATCTGAAAAAATAATCAACGAACTAGCCCTACACCTAATTGATCAAGTCAGTCTGAGTTTTTTCACATGTTGATGATAGGAGTATTTTTTTAGCTTTGCTACAAATGATCAATCAGTCACTATGAGAATGCTATGTTGTTGCATTTAAGGCAATAAAATGTTTATTTTCATATTGGAAAAAAAAAAAGGAATTCAATTATTTATCTGTGCTTTTAATGCATTTCCAGTATTGTTTGAAGTAAGTGTAAATAGTTTTAACTCTGCAGAATTCGCCCATTTTCTTTGTCTGACTAAACATCAGGATCATGGATACAATAAACAATGACCAAAATAATTGTTAGCTGCAGGCCTATCCTCATCTCATCAAGGCGAAAGGGTGCACACACCTGTTAATTCTCCACCAATTTGTGCTGGTCTGTCGCATGAAATCCCACGCTTCGCTTCAGCACATCGAGGTTTCTGCTTGTGACGTGACATGTGAAAAAGCTCCACGACTATTGAGGACTTCTGGAGCGTACTGCCAAGTGAAACCATGATCTGCTTTTCGAGGATGCACAGGGGAGCAAATTCGAAAACAAATGTTTTCAGCTTGCTGGAAGCTTGTCTGCAAGTGAGGATACTTCTATTCTGTATAGTTAGCTGAATTTGAGTTCAGCCCTTCAACAGCAAGCTGCTGAAGGGCTGGGACATTTCACAGCTTCTTCCCTGGGGAAGGAGCCCTCTACTGTATCGATATTGTGCCACTTTAATGGAGTGATCTGTAAGTGAAGTGCAACAATACCTAGTTGATTGATTTGTGGTGCCTAAACTTATGGCTGTTTTTTTTTAGTACACTTTTTTTGTTTGTTTGTTTTTTAAATGATGCATTTTTCAAAAGGACAATTTGATTATGATTGTATGTTTTAAGAAAATCGAGCTCCCACAACGTTTGCTGCAAGTTGGAGTTGACAGATTCCTTGCGGTTGAAATCCGACAGGGTTTCACATCGAATCACTGCCACAGTTTGCTCTTTTGCCCTTTCACTTCCCCCTCATGTTCGGTCTCTTCTCCTCAAAGCACATATCTCTCTCTTGTAGTGTGCGTGCGTGCGTGTGTGTGAGTGTGTGTGTGTGTGTGTGTGTGTGTGTGTGCGTGTGTGTGTGTGTGTGTGTGTGTGTGTGTGTGTGTGTGTACTATGAGAAACTTTTACCTAAAGTAAATCAGAGAAAAGATACAAAAGGAAATCCTTGAGATTAGCCGATCTTCAGTGTTTCATTTCTTTGCTGCTGCTGCCTCCTCGTTTGTACATGAGTGACATTATTTACATTTCGCTGTCAGAGCCGGGCTGGGAGGGGGGCGGGGCAGGTGTTGTCATTTCAGAAAAAAACGTAAAAGGGAAAATCTTCTCTATTCTCAGTATATGCCAGGAGTATTTATATCGCCTAGACGTTTTCACATTGTATCTCATTACAACCATGGACTTGAGTGTACTTTATCTGGGACTGTATGGGAACAATTTTCAAGTCTTTCCACAGATTCTTCATTGGATTCAGGTCTGGACTTTGACTGGGCCATCCCAATGTGCTTTTTAGCTCTGGTTGTTAGTTTTTGGGTTATTGTCCAGCTGGAAGATGAACCGTCGCACCGGTTTCAAGCGTTTTGCCTAACGCTGCTTTTAACTTCTCAGCATTTTCCCTCAACCTGTCTGCTGTGTTTTTTTGTTTCTTAGTCATTGTGTGACTGTTTCTTCACTAATGTTCTCTGACAGCTGGATTTATATTGAGATTAAACTGCACTCAGATAGACTTATTTTATTATTGAGTTACTTCTGAATGCAAGAGTGAGGTGCAGTATGTAACTTTTTTGAACAGTATTTTTGTTTTTTTACCCATTTAACATATTTGTTAAAATTACAACCATGTTGTGTTGTTACTCAACTCGTGTACACGCTGCTAAATGTGCGTTCATTCAGTACATCAGCACATTTAGCACCGTTGAAGGGAAATAGCTCATTGACCATTTCTGATGGCTGTGCTAACTGGCCTGAGCATTCACAACAAGCTTCTGTGTGGAGGAATGCAACAGAGAGCTTGAACTGGGTATACACAAGGATGATTGACAGTGCTAAGACCCAACCCCTGGCTCTGATTGATTGTTTCTGCAGAGGACAATTGGACCACAAGCAGGAGGCAGTGGAGCTTGATTTATTTATTTTTTTTTTCACGTATTACCATCAAAGCATAGTGACAGTTTTAATAAATATGTGTAAGGCATATTGTTTTTAAAAGTTACACACTGCAACTTTAAAGGCTTATCTAAAAATTAAAGAAAATAAAACCACATACCATTTTCTGCCCACTTCACAGTTATGTACTATGTTGTATAAAGTCCAGATGAAAGTACATCAAAGCATGTGGTTGTAATGTGACAATATTAAAAATGCTCAATGGCTGTGAATACTTTCTTGAGCCACCGTATCCATCTGCCTCATCTGTAGCATAGAAAAACGTTTGGTTACCTCTGCCACTGGTCATCCAGCGCATACACAATCAGTGCCTTTTGTTTTTTTTAGTGGGAGTCTTTTTTATTTCTTAAATTGTTTTGTGTGTGAGGTGTGGTTATAGTGTCAAATGATTTCACCCTACTTGCATTAACACCATGAGAATCCAAAGAAGCATCTTCAGCCGACGTCACAGTAGCTGGAGACAAAAAAATATTTATGAGACTTCAGTCATAAGCTCTCAAATTTTTTATTTTTTACACCTGTGATTCATATGCCCAGATCGCTCGCTTTCGATGAGCCACAGCGCGCACACAAAAAAAGTTGAACAAAACACTAGATCTTTTTGTGAAGGAAGGTTTCACACACATACGCACACATTTTCTTGACGACCTTTATGCCTTATGTTGTTAAGTGATCCTGTGTGAGTTTTAGGCCATGGCAGCACAGCATACAAAGAAACAAAAAAAAAAAAAGAGAGATTTCACAAGTTGACAAGTGCACCACCTTTCCAGTAGCACACATCTGTATACAGCCACAAATAAAACATTACATTGAAAACTACCGAGTCTGTGATTTGTACCAGAAGAGGAGTTTATCTCGACTGCACACTGCCTCCACTGAGCTTCGAATGTGGGTTAAGTCTGATGACATCTTTTCAATTGCCTTTTATTTTTCCATTTCATTTCATCGCTGTGTGTTGGAAAACCCTCAGCATGCATCAGAAATAATATTTTGTTGTGTAAGAAAACTAAAGGAAGCCCTAGTGAAGCAGCGTGACATTAAATGATGACAAAAAAGCAGCTCAGCAAATTTTCTGGCATGTTCCAGAAAAGCGTTGGTTGATTTTGAATGCATTTGCTATATTTCATAACGGAGATTCACAATGTATTATTTGAGTGCATTATCTTATGCATCTTTTATCAACACATGGTCCTGAAAAGCACTCATTGTTTGTACATCTATGCATTTAATTTTTTTTTTTTTTGTCGTTTTTTTTACATATGCATGTGTCAGAAAAAAAGAAAGGGATGTTTATTAAGCAAACCATTCAGTGTGTGTATTGACTTAAGTGGGGGTCATTATGTCATCCAGTTCTTCTTTTTTTTCCAGTATGTAAGAAATAAATGTTGAAGTAGAATACTGCAGATCAAAATGCAGAACTCAAGAGCCACAATATGCACACTGATACCAAATCCAAACCTGCTGCTGTCGCGTGTCCCTGCATTGTTTTAGGATGCCTCGTTGATGCAGCACACGCCTTCGAAAACTCGTTGTTTGTTGGCCTATGGGCTTAAGAGGATCAAACACCTCTGCAGCATCCTAACATAATACCGAAGAAGCCCACAATGGATCTTTAGTGTACAGAATGGAAAGTTATTTGATTGCCCATCATCATGGCCCAAACTAAAATTTAGAAAACAAATTGAATGATGTCATCGTTTAAGTATTAAAACCGAGTTATTTTGCTGCTGAATGAATGGTACGGAGAAATAATAGAGAAAATAATTGATCTAGTTTTTTATATATATACATATAGAAGTATATATATATATTTGTGCCTCTTAGTGAGCTACAAGACAGTAATGGTAAAACATAACTGAGAATGAAAGATATCTTATTGGATAGTTAAAGTTGTGCAGATGTCTCATTCATAAGCAATGTTCATCGTAAAAAGTATCAAAGTATTTCATATTTTGTTTATGACAATGTTAATAGAAAAGAAAAGAACTTAGTAATGTAATCACAGAATTATTGGTGAGAAGTTCATTGCCTCATTTATCTATCTATATAAAATTAAGTAAATAAATCAGAGAATTGCCGATTACTTTATGTTCTAGAAAATTAATATGAAAAAAAACATAATCTTTTCAATGAAATATTTTCAGAAGGTGAAATCCGAAAAAGGCATAAGGACATACAAAAGTATAAATCTGAGAACATGACATGAAGGATCAAAAGAACAGTACATAAAGAAAAGAAGAAAAAAAGCAAAGGTAGATTTTTGTAAATACGTTTATTTCACAGGAGTAAAGTTCTAAAATATAAATTCTGTTCATCGGAGAGCCGTACAGGTTTGTGTTCAATATTTCAAAATAAACATTTTCCCGTGTTTTTTTATTTTATTTTATTGTCATTCACTTTATTTAAATTTACAGCGGTAGAAAAAAAAATAATTAACGAGCAACAAATTGCTTTTTAACTCATAGTGCTTGGGCGCCCCTCGCGGCGCCCAGCGGCAGTGTTTTTACGCAGGGCGTGATTGTGCGGCCCCTCCCCCTCCACAGTCGATCTGGAAAAGAAAAAAAAAACTTTTTTGTATCGAAGGAATCAACAGCCGCCATCTTGTCGTGGCTCGGAATTGGGATTTCGATCCAACACTGGGTTTCGCATAGAAATACAGCAGCATTAACTGGCTGTGACAGCGTCCTTCTGTCGAAAACGAAACCTTAACGTCGCTCCCGGAACATTTTGTGCAAAAAAAACTGGAATCGGAACGGTGGTCGTCGGGCAAAATTGCTCCGTATATCTGATTTCCCCTTCAGAGTGCGGCGATTCGAGCCCCCTGTCGCCCGTTCGGGAGCAGCATTGTTTACCGTCGGCAAGCGGAGGATCAACTCGCGGCTCTCGAGGAGGATTTTTCCAAAAATTGCATTTTCGTGCAAATGTGCATTTTTGCGGAGCTTCGCGCGATTTTTGCATGAAGAAATTTGACGTCACGCAAAATGGGTACTTTAAACATTTAGAAATTACGACTTTCTGCCCGGTATGCAGCAGTCTACCTGATTTATCCGGATTGACTCGTCGAAGCTCGATTTTTACATGGGGACTCTTTTATTTTGGGTTATTTAATGGTAATAATGTGGGTGTTGGGTGTTGGATTATCATGGGGTGAATGGCGGTGGCGGAGCGGGGCGCTATTGCATCTCTTTTGAAAGACGTTGACTCTTAACAGCGAGGAGTAGCTAACAGTTACCAGAGCTGGTAGCAGGCAATTAGCCAGTTAGCTCACTAAGCTGCCAACTTGCTAATGTGCTAACTGGGAAGGCTCCGGCTGATAGAAGAAAAAAAAAAAAAAAAAAAAAAAACTTCCCTGTCATAAGTTAGTGCAAAAATAAAGAAGCCAGACAGACTGAAGACAAGTATGGCTGAAAACCTACTGGATGTTGGACCTCCCAGCTCCAAGCGACCGAAACTAAATTCACCTGCCCCATCAGCGTCTGATGGACAAGGTAAGGCCTGAACACGCTTTCTAAATAAATAATAAAAAAACAACAACATTTTGACACCCTGTTTAGACCCTTTGGTGTAGCTCACTAAGTCCTACGTATCAACCAAGGGGCACACTTTCAGATTTAATCACAGGTGAGTTCGGTAAACCGGTGGGCTGGCCGGTTTACGGTACTGTTATGGTTTCGTTCTCTCTGTGCAATCCCTGTTTACGTCGACGCATTGTTAGGGAGCTTGGCATTAATTCAGCCTGGCAGAACCTGCACAACTCCACTCCTGGACGGAGCTGCGGTCAATAGCCAGCTTCCTGCGTGTTGTTGGCTAGCTAGCCCGGTCCGTTCCTCACCGTCAGTTCGGGCTCGTGCGCGTGTCAAGAAAATAAAGACAATAAACCGACGATAGTCATGCCCGCGTGCCTTTAAAAGTATCGCTATATGCGCTTTAGCAGAATTTCTGCAGACATGTTGCGTCAAAATAAAACTGTTTAATTGGAAACATCCATAAAACAGCTTTAAAGGGATGCTAAATCAACTGTGTTGGGTGAAAACCTGTGATTCTAGGGTAGTTAATGTCCTTAATTAGCATTGCAGCCTTTGAAAACTTGATTTTAAGAAAAGAACATTCATTTACAATGATTTTTTTAAAAATTATTATTATTGTCAAGACAGTAAGCTAGATTATGCATTTCCTTGCAAATACCAATTTCTATGAAATCCAATGCTACTTTAGAGCAAATCTGTAAGCAATATAACAAATCCAAGTGAAATAAAATGCCATGTGGAAAACTAGAGTTTTAAAATTGTAAAAAATTATATTACGGGTATTTGTGCCTTATTGAAAATTCCACATAAAGAAATGTATCAATGAAAAAGCTGCAGCTAGTTTAAAGAGGATAATACAGTCAGTAGAATAATTACTAATAAAATGATAGGAGCGCAAACTGAAGCAACAAACTGGCTGATATTAGCATCCCTTAGCAGCTTTGTGTGTTTTTCTCAGCATGTGCTTAAAAAATGTAGGGTTAGATGCAATGTTAAACCTTTCAGAAGGGTTGTACTCTAAATTTCTCTCCCAAAGAGCAATACACAAACTCTCAAGTGATCCCAAGATAAAGTTCTAAATTAACGTTTTGCCATGGCACTGATGCTGATTTCAGTTCTCTCCAGGAATACAGGTGGTTTTGTTGCCACTAAGTACTGTAAATGCCTGGAAAAAGAAAAGTGCAGCCGATTCTAATTTTGAAACGAGCAGAGAATGAAGGAATCCTTGGACGATCGCTATTCTGCTCAGTTCAGCCTCAGTGGTGAGACTTCATGACATACTTGATATGTCATAATCACTTTTTTCAGCAGAAATCATCCCGTTTGTCCTTGTAGAATATTTTGTAATTGAAATCGGTGACAGAGAATATATATACTTTTTTTTTCAAACAAATACTAAAGCTTACATACGTGTTGATTATGAAGAATGTAAATGTCGAACTTCAGATAAAGAGATCTACTCATTCATCAAATCACTTGATTTCTGGGATAAAGGTAGTTGAAAACATGACCTAACTTAATATTTGGTTGATTTAAAAACAAAAAAAAGTCTACTTGTCCAAAGTAAATTAAATAAAAACCTTATCCGTAACACCTTTGAATGTTGCTGAGAAATACTCATCTGGATGTAAGAGCTGCACAATATATCAAGTTGCAATCAGCATCACAAAGTCAGTATACAGAATATTGCAAATAACTGCTTGGAGGCAATATTTGGTAAAATACTCCATTTCCAGTGACTGGCATTCACACTCTGCATATTTTAGCAATATATTTGCCAGTTGTGGGGACTCTAAGCGCCCTTAATGCTTACGCCTGATCTTTATGTTCATTGGCTGAGATGCTGAAGCTCCCAGAGAGTAATGTTGGTGATTGTAAAGAAATAGAAGTTAGAAAAATGCATCTCAATCATAAAATCATCATTGCAATTTTCAGCAATAGCATTGCAATTTTATCCCAGGCCAACAGAAATGGTTACGCTGACGACAGACGAAGATGTTTGCCATGAAAGTTGTTTGAAAAATTTTGTGCTACTGCTCTGTCGGAGGACGAGGTTACAGGTGTAGTGAAGGAGAAGAGGGCTCAGATTTGCGTAGCCTCTCGTTTTTAAAAACGAGGCATGTCTGTGTGCTCAGGGAAACCAGAAAAACGCAATCCACAAGTGTTGTCCCCGCATTTGCACATCTTCAAAATGTACACTCACAAAAATCAAAGGAGAGTTTGATAATCTCCTCTTTGGTGTAGATTAGTGTGAGCTGGCTCCTTTTTTAAGCTTCTTTTTGCTTGAGT